GCACACATTTCCTGGGCTCATCTGTGGCATAAAGTGCCATTACAAATTGAAGGGAGGGAATTCGGTCTTTCTTATACAATTGTGGACAGAGTGATGCTTCTCTAAGCAGGAAACAAAAAATTATAAGACTCTGCACCCTACAAAACTGATTTAGTGGAGACAATACAGAGGGGAATGTAGGGTGGCGTACTGGAACTTAAATGAGGGCAMTGACCTACATCCTATGGGAACTAAGAGGATGGAGAGTGGTAATAATATTAACCAGTGCACAATCACAAGTCATTATTTCCTTCCCATAACAATGCCCAGGAAATATTAAGGGAAGTTAAATTAAACTACCAGTTGTAGTTGGATGCTGTCAAGTGCACATTCTCTTTTCCTTGCCCATGCTACACACATTTTATAAGCCCCCTTTTGCACATGAGAAAACTGAGCAAGGAGATAAGAAATGAGGGGCAGTGACTGGTCACCTTCTCAGGTTGGCCTTCAGTTGCCTGGAGGGAAACTGAGGGAGCTTCTGCTGGACCAAGATTCCAGAAATGAATCAGGGGAGAATGGCAGTGGGTGCTTCAGGTAAGTACCAGCAAAGGTCCTGCAGTTGGGGAGAGGGGATGGGACAGCTTAGGCTTTGTGTGTAGGGCCAGCCCATCTAGGCTCTAGCCTTGCCTCTTTCATCATCCCTGTCCCTTCCAGCTCTAGCATTAATAGGAAAAATCATCAGTTATTCAGACTCAAATTTGACAAACTTAATTGCAAAGAATTAAATAAGTTGTAGATCAATACTCTCTGAATGATCAATTAATCATTCTCTGTAATTAAAACTACCAATTCCTAATACCTTTCAGTTATATTTTATTGCACAATTTCTAATTCAGAGCTTTTAGGCAATTGTATTGATTGCAAGTATACTTACCATATCTGGTAATCAAATAATTTATCAGCCAGCACAACTTGTTATAGGATATCTGGTTTAATTACTATCACCTTGTCTCAGAAGGCAGGTTTAATTCTGCTTGGGCTTGTTTCAAGACACAGCAGGTTTGACATTACAATTCTGTTGTGTGGGTTCTACATGCCACACAAAGTTCCTTCTTTTGTGAAAGAGAATTGTAAGATAAATAGGTGAGTGTACTTACTAAGCAGGTAAATGGATGAGCTCAAGTGGTTCCTCAAAATTATGTTTAAACTTTAATCTTTTTCATGGAGGGTTTGCAACTTAATTTATTCCCAATATGCTTAGAAAAGTGCTCTCAGGATTCATGGATGAAAGGCCTTTAGATGTACAAATGGGTACTGCCTTCATTATTACCTTGAAATACAAATTAAATACCAAGAACATCACAATCTGCTTCACTGTGTCCATCAATTTTGAAAAAAGTACAAATAACATTTATTTAACCTATGAATTTATTATTCCGGCAGCAATGCTGGACAACTGGTAGTTTAATTTAACTTCCCTTAATGTTTCCTGGGCATTGTTATGGGAAGGAAATAATGACTTGTATTTGTCCTGCACAGCCCTGGGTGGGCCTGGGCCATCTTCCTGATCTCTCACTCATATTCAAGGTCCCCAGAGCAAAGGTTTAAATGTGGTTTTCCCTCCAAAATCCATATTGTGGCTTCATTCCCCAATGTAACCATATGAGGTGATAAGGCCTGTGGGAGGGGTGATTAAGTCATTAAGAGGGACTGGTGCTCTCCTTGCCACAGTGCCTTTTTTCTCTTGGGTCTAGATTGGTATTCATGAAGCAGGTTGTTATAACTAAGCATAACATCTCCCTTGAATGCCTCTAGTGCATCTACTGCTGGCCTCTCACATGCTCCTTCTAAGTAATGCCAACTGCCATCTTATGTTGTGGCAGAAATCCCTCTCCAGATGTGGATGCCTGAATTTAAGACTTTCAGCCTCCAAAAGTATGAGCTAAACAAACCTCTTTATTGTATAAGTTACCCAATCTCAAGTATTTTGTTAAAGTAACACAAAAYGGGCTAAAACAGTAACAATGCCTGGGGACATCTTGGAGAGTCAGGGAGGCTGGTCCTTCCAGGGAGAAGGGGAATCTGCGGGGATTCTCTCTGCCAAGATGATAACTGGGCATCAGAGACTCTGGATCTCAGTTTTTCCTGAAGAATGGGAAAAGCTTCCAGAGGTTTTGGGTTGAGTTTAAACTGAAGGGATCCAGAACTTCATGCTTGGAAACAATATGACTGAAGGTTCAAAGTTAGGAAATCCTGGGCAGGGTGGAGAGGGAGTCAGGAGCGGGGAGGCCCTGTTACATTAACATCTTCTTTGCCCTCTACAGGCTGCTCAGGTCTATCAGAGGCATGTCCCTTCAGCTTATTCCCCTCCCTAGTACTCCCTTCCACCTTGAAAATGCCCAGTTCTCCATCAAACAGCTCATACCAGACCCGTCTCTCTCAGGGTATTCCCATCTGTGCAGGGCATGGGAAGGAAATCCCTAACACTAAACAGAAATGATGGCTGTTTGGAGAACAGAGAGGATCATGTTTCAAGTGCCTCCATTCAACAACATGTCACTCACCTTCCATTCTTCCAAGGACTTCTCACAGAGTCATCATGGAGCTCAAAGCAAGCAGACAAGCAACAGGACAGCACCCTCCTTAGTGCTCCTTCCCTGCCTCTCATTTCCAGAGACAGAAAGCCAGGCCTAGGGCAGTGTGCAGACTATGAGTACCTCCAGCTCAAAGCCTGAGTTCCCAGCCTGTCTCCAGGGCTGGCACATGGCAAGCGCTGAACACTCAACATTCGCTCGATGACTAGATCCATGCATACTTTTTCTGAGGTACAAACTTACCTACCTAGAGAGGGGAAATGTGGTTGAAGTAGGTGATCCCTGAGTTCATTAGGGCAATAATGCCCTCTCCCACCAGCCCAGTACTCTCCTCCCCTCATCCTGTCTTCTTTTCTCCATAGACTGTATTACCCATATGACATTCTTATTTGTGATCTATTTTGCTGCCCTAGAATGCAAGGTCCTCATGGCCAGACACATTTAGCCACACTGTACTTAACTGCTCCATCTCTAAGCAACGGGAAAACAACGTGGCATATGGTAAAGACAACAGTCTTTCAAGTGAAAGAATGAATCCTCAAGTGAGGAAACTGAGGCTCAGAGGGCTTGGGTTACTTGCCCAAAGGACTCAAGCAAGTGGAGGAGTTGGGATTAAATGGAGGCAGCCTAACTCTGGAATACAGGCTTTTAGCAAGTATTCTATACAAAAGAGTTCAATTAACTCGACGATTCTTTCAGGGGGCATATAATATAATCCAGGGGCATTAAAAGGGGAAGTTTTTGGTGCCACTGCAGCAGCTTATTTGGCAAGAGATGGATGTACAGCTGATAGGGAAACTGATATGATTTTCAACAAAGCCGGCAAATTAATCATACTTAATGAATGTGACTAATGTGTTAAAGGAACGAGTGATTAAAATATTAGCACGTCTGAACTTCTCCTCCCTGGTTAATTTCTTCTCCTCCCTAGGGTTACCATCTCTCAAAGAAGTGGGGGCACAGAATTATGGAAACGGATTTTATGGAACAGAAATGCATTTTAAATGGCTTAAATTGGGGACAGTCTGTGCAGTTCTCAAGCGGCTGTCAGTCTTCACATCTCGCTGCTCAAGCGAAGGACATGGGCTGAGGAGAGAGGCTGAAACTGTCACAACGACTGGAACTGGAGAGGAAAAAGCTGAGCATTTCCTGGGGTAATGGTGTGGAAATGGAAGACAGGCGTGGGCCCCTCCAGCAAGGAGGAACCAGCCTTTCTGTGTAGGCACAAGGTGAGATGAAAGTGGTTGAGGAGGGATGTTTCCTGAGGAGGGTCTTACCAGCTTTTTGCATTACACAGGAACAGAGGACAATCATTGACAAATCCTAGCCGAGTCTCCTTAGAGCACACTCCCCTCTCCCACCCTCTACACATCCCCATTGTCCAGATGGAAACATTAAAATTGTAGGGAGAAGAAAGCATCTCAAAATACAGCTCATGCTTGGGTACCAAATGGAACCAGGAGATTGCACTGCTTGTTGGTGTCCTACCACTTTTGGCAATGGCTCAAGCCTTCCCGTGGAACTGTGTAAAGCTGAGCCCATGCTCAGAAGCCTCAGGGGATAGCAGGTTTTGTAGCTATATAAAGTGAACATGATGGGAAAGGACTCAGATCAGTGACTACCCACCTGGGTTAACAGCATCAAGGATCTTTCTCTATCTAAGGACACAGGTGGTCAAATCTTTTTTGAAGAAAGGCAGATGTGTGTGTTAGTTTTCTACTGCTGCTATAACAAAGTCTGTAGCTTAAAACAACACAAATGTATTATTTTACAGTTCTAAAATTGGTTTTCGGGCTGCATTTCTTTTGAAAGCTTCAGAAGACAATCTATTTCTTTGCCTTTCCCAGCTTTTAACAGTTGGTCCATCATTTCCAGCCCCCCTTCCTCTGTCTGTCTTCAAGCCCAGTAGGATACCATTTCTCTCTTCTCTGACCCCTAGCTTCCCTCTTATAAGAATGCTGTGATTACACTGGGGCCTACCTAGACAATCCAGTATAATCTTCTTATCTCAAGATCCTTAATCAGATCTGTAGTCTCTTTGTCAGGTGAAGTAACAGGTAATATATTCCCAGGTTTCAGGGATTAGGACTTGCATCTTTGGCGGTGGGGATGGGGGAGGACGTGGAGATATTAATCAACCACAGTTTATATGTGTGAATACTCACAATTTGTAAGTGCTAGCAAATAATTCTGATGATTCCAGCATCATGTATGCCAGTCCAACAGGTCACCCTGTGGAACTGAGAGGTGAAAGAGTAGGTCTCCAGTCTATGACCTGTGATTTAAATGAAGTACCCACTTATTAAAAGAAAGACTTTGTGTCGATCCTTAATTCATACAGATACTTTGCTAGTTTACAAAAATAACAACAAATATTTATTAAGTTCTTGTTTTATACCAAACACTAGGCATTTCACATGCGTTACTTTGAATTTTCAGAGCAATTTCATTTTATCCCTGTTTTGCAGATGAGGGATTTGAAGCTYAGCAGTGTCCAAAGTTATACAGTTAGTGTGGGTCACAGCTATGCAGACCAGGTTGTTTGCATCTGGAGCCTTCAAAAATTTGTATTCAAGGAAAGAGTAAACTGGTGCATGAATGTTAATAGGCAGTTCGGTGAAAAACCAACAACTACCAAGAGGAAGTCAAGTCAGACATCAAAGTTCCAAGTTCCAATATGCCTGCCTGCCACTCTTAGATGCTAGCCTCCTTCTTTTGCAAGACAACATTTGATTAGCCATATAACTACCCTTCTCTCTGCTGCAAAACTGGAACAGCCCCAGAACAAAAGTGTTCTTTTACTTATCAATGATGTGTCTTTGGGTAAGTAATTGTTCTTCTCCGAATTTCTTCTATTCATATAGAAAACAGAATTATTATTCTCATCAACACTTACATAACACTCACTGCGTACAAGACACAGTTCTGGGCATTTTATAATTATTAATCCACTAAATCCTTAAAATAACTCTGAGGTAGATAGTATTGTCCTCATTTTTCGGGATAAAGACTGAGGCACATACAGAGGTTATATAACTTGCCCTAGGAAGTAGCTGGTGAGTGACAGAACTGGGATTGGACCCAGAGAGTCTGGAGATAACAATTTGAACTCTGCTTACTCCATTGGGAAGTTGTGAGGGTTTCCAGAAGATTCATTCATTCATTCTTCTTCTACTCTTACTACACTCAGAGGACTGTTGTGAATTAAACGAGTAATTTCATGGAAAGTACTCAAATCATGGACTGCCTTTGTAGTTGCTCCGGAAGTGTCTGTTTTTGATCCTTCCCAGTTGTTGCTGGGGGTAAGCTCCAAACCTGCTTTATGGCAAGCTCAGTCGTGAAGAGGCAGGCAGCTTCCAGTCTTGAGAGTACAACACAGCCCCTGTCGCTATCAAGACAGCTCAAGTCCTGGGCAAAGGAGAAAGTGGTCAGTGTGCTGTGAACCTTGAGAAAGGAACAGAAAGGCAGCAGGGATCAAAGGAATGAGGTATTGTTCCAGAGGAAGTGGCAGTTTCAAATAAAAACACCACCAGCAAATCCTCCCTGCTGCTTACTCTGAGCCAGGCCTCTTTGTAGGTAGTTTGCATATATTAGTAGCTTTTCTCCTCCTAGTAACTTTACCAGGTAGACACCATCAATATTACTTCTATTTTATAGATGAGGAAACTGAAGCAGAGAGGTTAGAAAATTTGCCCAGGTCATGCAGTCCATGCACAGCACTGAGCAGGGTTGAGAAACCTCAGTGGTTCACATTCTTGATTCACAATTTTGCCAAATCCATGCATTGCTCATATTAGGATATACTTAATATTTAAATTAATTCATTCTTTTACAGAATGAATGAAGTCTTATCTCACTGTAGTATAATAGGCAGAAAACCAGTATGAATTAAAAAGTAAATACCATGAAAATAAGTGATATTATTAAATTTTCTCTAGATTCAGTTGTCTGCTGAAAACTTCAAATTCAAGGCTTATTGTGTTAAAAGAGGAGATTAACAAATATAGAGAGGAATTAAAATTATATTAGCACCAAACTCAGACTTTCTTATTGGTGTAAACAGGACTGAAAGAGAAGTAAAAAGGGGGTAACTCTCTCAACATGTGACAGGAAATGATTATGGGATCTATCCCTGCACCCCTGCATCCCCTAAAATTTCACATGGGTAGTGGTGTTGATTAAGACCACAGACTCAGGAGACAAACTTGCTTCACTGTTTCCTGGCAATTCAGTTGTGAACAAAGGATCTCTCTGAGACTTACCTCATCAGTAAAATGTTCCCTCATTAGTAAAACGTTGGTAACAACAGCAGCTACTTTGCAGGAGCCTGATTACAAATGAAAGAATGCTGGAAAACAAAATCCAATATACAGTAGATGCTTAATAAATGTGTGTGTGTGTGTATGTAACAGGGATAAAACACAGGGGGCTTAACCACTGAGCCAACTCCCCAGCCTTTTTATATTTTTATATTTAGGTTTTTAATTTGTACTTTTATATATTTATTTACTTAGGTCTTGCTGAGTTAGGGCCTAGCTAAGTTGCTGAGGCTGGTTTTGAACTAGTGACCCAACTGCCTCAGCTTCTCCAGCCACTGGCACATGCCACAGTTCCTGGCTAGGTCATTATTTTTAATCTTTGCACACAGGTCCCTAGCCTTTTGTTGTTTGGTTAAGACGATAAAAAAAAAAAATCATTACAGAAAATAAACAGAGGTTACAATATATTCTAGGTGATATTTTATATATATATATATAGTTTTTTTTTCCTTTTTGGGAAGAATTATCCTCATTTAAACTAYAGTAATTTGTTCTTATGCCCAGGTCGCCCCAGATGAAATTTTCGCCCTAACTGATCACAAACACGCCCACGGGACGTTTCTCCGGACCTTAGTTTTATTTTGTCCTCTTATTTTGAGCAGCTACGGGAACGCAGACCACCAGGCAAACGTACTGATTGACAGCTGGTGTTAAGCCCCGCCTCCTGGACGCTCCGCCCTCAGCGTGGGCTCGTGGCCCGCTTTCGACGCAGCGCTTCCAGGTTCGTCCCGCCCCTCAGGACTCCGCTTCGGCCGGCGTGCTGACGTTACAGATCCGTCGCCTCTTACGCCTGCGTCGCGGGCGGAAGGTCGTCCCTGTGACCGGCTCGGCGGTTCTATCATTTGTCGCCATGTTGTCGGTCGCCGCCCGCTCAGGCCCGTTTGCACCGGTCCTGTCGGCCACGTCCCGCGGGGTGGCGGGTGCGCTGCGGCCTCTGGTGCAGGCCGCAGTGCCCGCCACCCCGGAGCCGCCYGTGCTGGACGTGAAGCGACCCTTCCTGTGCCGGGAGTCGCTGAGTGGCCAGGCCGTGGGCCGGCCTTTGGTCGCCTGCGTGGGCCTCAATGGTGAGCCGGGTTGAAGGGTCTTTCCTTTCTCGCTCCCTCCGGCCCTAGTCCCGGGGAGCAGCCGAGGAGGGCGGGGGCGTGTAGAAATGTAGAGCGGAGTCCCGTTCGGGAGGATCGGGTTTCCGGGTAGGGGCGACCTTGGGCAGAACAGGACGCTGCACCTCTCCGGGCCTCCATTATCCTCGCGTGGGCACGCCGCTAAGGTGGGCGGTCTTAAGTGATGCTGCAGCCCTATGTGGGGAGTCCTTCCCTTGGCTCGGATCTGGGCCCTCTTGGGCAAACTAATCTTTAACTTGTTGGTTAAGTTCCCAACTCCGGCGTCCTCCTACTTCCAACAAAGTCTGACAGAGGATATTGTTGCTTACAGGTAGTTTGACCTTGGGCAAATTTCTAAATGTTTTCTTCTCCTATGAAATGGATTCATGCTTCTACCAGTTTCATTAGGGATGTCGTGAGGCATACATGATCTGTAGAAAGCTACTGGACATTAAATAAATGTTAAAAAAAATTAAGAACTTTATTCCTTCAGTKTCTTTCCTCATCAACAACACCCCTTATTAATCCCCCCCTCCAAAAAAAACCCCACCTCAATTTAAATAACAACACAGCTCCAAGATCAGTTTCAGTATGAGTACCAGCAATCTTTTTCAGGCACTTGTCTAAAGGTTTTCACAACATAATTTAATCCTCAAGAAGAAAAGTTTGAAGCTGATGGTATTCCCGTTTTACAGATGAGAAAACAGACCACAGGAAGTAAAATGACCTGCATGAGGATGGACATTGTGCATGAGATAGAGCATGGAATTGACAAGACTGATTGTGTTAGCCATAAGCTCTTTCCAGGAATGTTTTTGGTATCCTCTGTCAACAGATCTCAGTTTAGTCTTCTGTTCCCTGTCTTTCATTTAACTAATGCCCTGTATTGGAGATTGTGAAATGGCACCATTTAGGTAGTGCGACTGCAAGCTGATTGCTTAGTATTAAAAAACTGGGAAAACTCCTGTTATTTCTTGAAGTATTATAGGGTGGCAACACTGGATTCTATAGTTTCTACATAGGTAAAGTCTAGTGTGCTGTGTATTGGCTGCTCCCATAGTTGTCCACTCCACTTCTCACTAGGCTTGCTTGTTCTATTGTGTTACTTGCTTGGTCCCATTGACAGTTGAGTTAGTGGTCTTTGTGCTACATGATAATCAAGTTGCCTCAAGGGGAAACTTACTCTGCATTATTCACTCTATTCTTTTTACTTTTTAATTTTTTTTCTTGAGAGAAGGTCTCACTATGTTTGCCCAGGCCCAGCTAACTTTGGTTCAAGTGATTCCCCATCTTAAGCCTCCCAAGTAGCACTGCTTCTCTATATTTCTAATGATCCTTCCACTCACTTTTCCTTATGTGCAAATCTTACCCATCCTTTTAATCACAATTTTGGATCAGGTCAATACAATTTTATATTTGCTCATTCCTTTATGTCTTTATAGCATATAACATTTCCCATTCTGTATTGTATTCATTGGTTATTCCTGTGACCTTGAACTTAAAGGAATAGAGTGTCTACATTTTTCTTTCCTACAGTCTGAGATTTCGTAAAGTTGATGCAAAGTATTTGTGAGTGAATGTTGAGGAGCACTAGTGGTTTTGGAGAAACTGTCCAGGGTAAGAATGAAGTACCCTGGCCCATTCCAAGTTTATTTTTTTTCTTATACATTACCTCGTGTACCTGTTTTTAATGTAGAGATATGAACTTGCTTCCTTTATCTTTTAGGAATGAAACATTCTTTACTGTCCTTGGCTTTGCCAGGGGAAAGTAATTCATGCTTGGTTTCAAATTGCTAGCCTGTACTGTCAGGTTAGCAATAGGTAAAATACTACATGACTGTAAGTCACTTTGGTTCCGCGAAGTCATAGGTATGAATCTCAAGTTGTTGGAGGTGATAAACAAGAAGAGAAAACTTCAATAGCAAAGGTGAAAAGCATCTTTGTCAAATGGCTAAAGAGTTTCTTCTAGAATTAATTTTTAAACTAGGCAAAAAAATGTAGAACCATAAGAAAAAAAAATCTCTTCTATCATCATGCCTTCAGCTTGTAGCTTAAGTTCACCTTAAAGTGTCCTATTTAGATAGTTTCTAGAAAGACAGTGAGTATGGGAGGAATTGATCAGGAGCAGATCTTTGAATTGGGGAGGAAGTTTACACCAGGGTAGCATCTCTTGCATATCAGAGGTCACTTTAAAACTAAAACTTAAAAAATATTTATTAAAATGCCTTCGATTTTTTTTCTGTTTTTAGGTGATATTTCCATAAATATCTGATCTTGTTTTAGGTTAGAACTAATTGCAACATCTTTGCTTCTCAAAGTCAGACATTATACAACCCTTGTAAATTATTGAGAGAATGATTTTTGGCAACCTGGCAGTTTAATTGCCTAAAGAGTTCTTGACCATGTAACCCAATAAAGTACTTGCTAGGTAGAGAGAGGTAGACAACTGAATTTCTTTTGCCATCAAGTCTTTGAGAATGAGAATGACAGTCATTCTGTGTAGTGTCCTTAGACATTACCTTGTATACTCTTTAAAAAAGAGTTAACAGTTGTGGATACTGTTTTTAATGTAGAGGTATGACCTTGGTTTCTTTATCTTAGATATGAAACATTCTTTACTGTCCCAGATTTTGCCAGGGAAAAACAATTCATGCTTGATTCCAAATTGCCAGTCTGTACTGTCAGGTTAGCAGTAGGTAAAATAGTACATTGTAAGTCACTTTGATGCCACGAAGTCATAAATATGAATCTCAAGTAGTCACCATCTATGTCCTGATCCCCACAAAAAAAAATGGGCTAGTCAGAAAAGTATATAGAGTGATTTTGATAGGTTTCATTATTTGTGAATATTTATGTCTTCTATAAAGTTATTGATCTTGACAATCACATGAAAAGCAGTTGAAATATTTTGTATTGTAATGTTTGACTGCTCAAAGAAATAGGATGAAAGCTTATGAATGAAATTGCAGTTTATTTTAATGAAATGTTTTTATAAGTACAGCTTTGAAATAACACGTTTTCTAAAAGTTAACAATTTTTAGTGCCTCTTTTTCTAAAAAGGAAACCTAATGGCAGGTTTCCTAAAACAGATATGATTTACAAAGAGATTTGCTTTCCTGAAACATTTAAAAGTGATACCAGTAAATTCATTTTTTGTCAGGTGTTTACAAATGGTATGGGAGAGAGGACATGACTTTAAAAATCTTTTTTATTATACAAATTACTTGTTCCCAAAATACTATGAAGGCAGTAATTATTTGTTTATCTACATTCATTTGACACACATGGTAGCCTACAGTAGAAGCATCTCACTAAAGGGGCCCACGGCAGTAAAAAAGGGTAATGCCCTTTTACAGAAGATATAAAACTTCACTGAAGAGGGAAATATAGGAAAAATTTTCTCTTCTTTTGCTAAATGGAAATAGTTCTTTTTACAGGTTTTATTTTAAGAGCTGCCTGTTATGATAAGGATGTCCTTTTCTGCACATTAGAAGCTTTACTTGAAGATAGTATTAGTTTATACCCTCAAGTCTAAAATAGAAATTCATAAATTTTCTGTAACTGAAGGGATACCAGCAGAACACAGAATATATATTGTTTTGTACTTACTTTTGAAGACTAGACTAGCCTTAATGAGATGAGCAGATCAGTTTAACCAGGTAGGTTAGATAAGTTTTGGGGTCTTTTCTAATCCAGAGAATATGAGAAGTATTTAGTTTGGTTGTACCAAATGTCTTAGCAATTGGATTTTTGGAAACTTTGAAATATAGCTGTTAATTGTGCTATTTAACTTTCTGAACTTAATGCTATGATATATTAATCCTGAATGAGCCATGTTCCAACAACCTTCAAGGAGAAATTCAATTTACAAATATTATCTTGTGGTTCATACCAATATAATAGCTTGTAGTCAACTTCATTTCATTTCTAATATTTTATATGCTAGTACTGCCATTTCAACTATTCACCAGTCTCAACTGGTGAGTTTTGAGAATTTTTATTTTTGCCTATGAGTCTAAGGTCTGTTTCCTGATGTATACCCCTTTCAGTAATTAGTTACTTATCTAATTGTTTTTAACTTTCTGTTTGCCTTGTAGTACCTGCTTCTGTTCGTTATTCCCACACGGATGTCAAAGTGCCTGATTTCTCTGACTATCGTCGCTCCGAAGTGTTAGATAGCACAAAGTCTTCAAAAGAGAGCAGCGAGGCTAGAAAAGGTTTCTCCTATTTGGTGACTGCAACAGCTACTGTGGGTGTTGCATATGCCGCCAAGAATGTTGTCTCCCAGTTTGTTTCCAGCATGAGTGCTTCTGCTGATGTATTGGCCATGTCGAAAATTGAAATCAAGTTGTCCGATATTCCAGAAGGCAAGAACATGGCTTTCAAATGGAGAGGCAAACCCCTGTTTGTGCGCCACAGAACCCAGAAGGAGATTGACCAGGAAGCTGCTGTTGAAGTGTCCCAGTTGCGAGACCCACAGCATGATTTGGATCGAGTAAAGAAACCTGAATGGGTTATCCTGATAGGTGTTTGTACTCATCTTGGTTGTGTACCCATTGCAAATGCAGGAGATTT